AGGAAGCCAACCGAGACAAACCTGTTAAAACCTTTGCAGAAATGGTCCCTGAGCAATACCGTGAATTCAAGAAGGTCTTCTCAGAATCTGCCTCCAAACAATTACCTGCCCATCAACCCTGGGACCATACAATCGATCTCTTGCCTGGAGCACCAGCAACCATGCGTACCAAGATCTACCCCATGTCCCTAAACGAGCAGGAAGAGCTGGATTGCTTCCTGGAAGAAAATCTGCGGAAAGGTTACATTGTTCCCTCTAAATCACCCATCTCGTCCCCAGTCTTCTTTGTGAAGAAGAAGGATGGGAAACTCCGTTTCATACAGGACTACCGGAAACTGAACAAATACACTGTGAAGAACCACTATCCCCTCCCCTTGGTTGCTGATATTATTAGTCGACTTCAAGGGGCGCGATATTTCACTTTGACGTCCGCTGGGGTTATAACAACGTCCGAATTAAGGAAGGTCACCAATGGAAAGGGGCCTTTGCAACCACATGAGGGCTGTTTGAGCCTAAGGTTATGTTCTTTGGTCTCACCAACTCCCCTGCAACGTTTCAAGCACTTATGAATGCCATATTTGCAGACCTTATAGCAGCTGGAAAGGTAGCAGTTTACCTCGACAACATCCTCATCTTTAGCAGTGACCTTCAGGAGCACCGACAAGTGGGACGGGAAGTACTAACTCGGCTGGAGAAGCATGACCTGTACCTACGACCGGAGAAGTGCGAATTTGAACAGCAACAGATCGAATACCTAGGGCTTATTATATCGGAAGGGGAGGTGAGAATGGACCCGGTAAAGGTAGCTGCAGTCCGCAACTGGCCAGCCCCCACTAACCTTCGAGAGCTACGAGGGTTCCTTGGATTTGCTAACTTCTACCGGCGCTTCATCCGGAACTTTGCGAGGATAGCCAGACCCCTGAACGACCTCACTCAGAAAGACATATCCTTTACCTGGATGGACACCCAGCAGAAAGCATTTGACACCCTCAGAGAAGCCTTCATCTCCGCACCCATCTTAGCCCTGTGGACTCCGGACAGACCGACCCGAATTGAGGTAGACGCATCAGTCTTTGCTACCGGCGGCGCCCTCATGCAGCAGCAAGAGGATGGCCAATGGCATCCTGTCGCTTTTAGATCAGCCTCAATGCAACCAGTGGAACGAAACTACAAGATCTACGACCAGGAAATGCTAGCCATCATAGAAGCATTGAAGGACTGGAGGAACTTCCTAGAGGGACTACCCCAGCCATTCAACATCATCACTGACCATTCCAACCTCAAGTTTTGGCGCACAGCCCAAGACCTCACCCGTTGACAAGCTCGCTGGGCTCTATACCTCTCACGATTTGACTTCCACATGATCCATCGCCCCGGTAGAACAAACACTCAGGCAGATGCTCTCTCTCATATGGCAGCCCACCAGGTACTAGACAATGAGGATAATCGACAGCAGACGGTCCTTAAGCCCAACCATTTCACCAAAATTGCAGCCTCTATCCTACGGAACCCCCTAGAGGATTGCATCCGGAAAGCCTCACAGCGGGAAGCACAGGTACTGGAAGGTCTCAAAACAGTCAAAGAGCATGGACTACAGCACTTGGCTAACGGGATCGCCGAATGGGAGGAGGACAACGGTCTAGTCTATTACCGAGGACAAGTATACGTACCTGCAGATGATGACCTATGCACGGAAGTACTGCGTCAATGCCACGACCATCCCACGGCTGGACACCCTGGACTCCATGGAACACTCAATCTAGTTAGCACCCACTTCTGGTGGCCAACATTGCGCTCCTTTGTGGAGAAATACATAGAGGGATGCAAGACGTGCGCACACAAAAAGATCCAACGACACCCACAAGCTGTAACGCAGCCATTAGACGTACCTTCGGGTCTATGGGAAGAGGTAGGAGTGGACCTGATAACGCAACTGCCTAACTCCCAAGGATACGATGCAGTCCTAGTTTGCACGGATCTCTATGGGAAACAAACTCATGCCCTCCCATGTACTAGCTCCATCACTGCAGAAGGCGTTGCTGACATCTACTACAGGGAAATCTTCCGTCTCCATGGTCTCCCTCTCCACTTCAAGTCTGACCGCGGGCCTCAGTTTGCAGCTAAACTCATGTGATCCCTACTTGCTAGACTGGGAATAAAACCAGACCTCACATCCGGGTATCGTCCTCAGTCTAATGGTCAAACCGAACACGCCAACCAAGAAGTAGAAAAATACATTTGACTCTACGTAGGTCGTCGGCAGGATGACTGGGCAGAACACCTTCCCATGGCGGAGTTTGTAATCAATTCGCAAACCCACTCTGCACTAGGCATGTCCCCATTCGAGCTAACCTATGGATATCTCCCCCTGTTCAACATCCCAGTGGGACAATGCAGCGGAATCCCAGCTGTAGATGACCGCATACGGATACTCCGAGCAGCCCGGCAGGATGCAGGGGCCGCCTTGCACTTAGGAAAAAAGCAGCAAAAAGAGGGGTATGAGCGAGGGAAACGGAAAGCTCACCAGTTTAAAGTCGGAAATTTTGTTTGGCTCAGCACGGAGGACATCAACCTCCAACTATCCAGTGAGAGACTTGGAGATCGGCAGCTTGGACCTTACCAAATCTTAGAGAAGATTGGACCCCTGGACTATCGCCTTGACCTCCCGATCTCCCTCGACCGCATTCACCCCGTCTTTCATGTCGACAAACTCTATCCCTGGAAAGGTAACATCATCAATGGAGAAATACCAACACCACCAGAGCCGGTCTACCTAGAAGATGAAGACGAGCCGGAGTACGAAGTTGAGGAGATTTTGGACAGTCAGGTTCGGTGGAAGAGGTTGGAATACCTGGTTAAGTGGAAGGGTTACGATGCAGGACATAACTCATGGGAACCAGCACCCAACCTCAGCCGCGCACCAAAGATCGTTCGAGCATTTTACAAGAAACACCCCTCAGCAGCTAAAGCTTGACCATCGAGGGCAATGGTCATAAGGAGGGGGGTAATGTCATGAAGTACGTAGCCCCTATCATTTTCCTTTTCTCACCGTCTCTACACCCTTATTTATATGATACATCACTCCATCACTTTCACATCCCACCATTGTCGAACTCTCATCGATTACTGATCCACCTGACCCCCTTCATCAATTACTGATCCATCAGTTACCCTTCTCCTTCTACCGGCTTCCGCCACCTTCTTTATTCTCAAACTGTACAGGATTACATTGTCAGTTCTCGCAGACCGGATTGTGTATATAAAGCCAGCCCCCACTACCTGGTCCCTTATCTTGACCTCTCTGTCATTATCTTGGGACCAGGTACGTGCTTACTTACTAGTACTTACAACTACAATACTAATATAACTCTGTCATTATCTTGGGACCAGTCTGTCTCTGCTCCGCTTAGTCATTCCGCATTATCACTCTGCTTCAGCCGCTCCGCCTCTCTGCTCTGCTTAGTCACTCCGTCGCTGTCACTTTGTGACATTCCTCCTCGTTCTCTTGACGATTGCACCTAGGCTTATCAATGTTGAAGCATTCCCCATCAATGTTGTTTTCCGTGATGTTGGTGGGCAACAGATTGATAATGGCAACAAAGATGTCAACACTAGCTCCGCCGCGATACATGATCTTACAAAACGCTCTACGAGGCTCAGTCTATTAGGATACTTTGCTTTGCCCCCGGTGAATAACATTTTCTCTTCGTTCTCTATTTGGTTAAAAATATTGCCACAACTGCGAACACTGACTCCTCGTTGACTAGAGAATTGCGGCAATCACTGATAGGAAAGATGCACTTACATCCGTTGCGACGAATGATCCACTCGGGGATGCCCACTATTATTTCAATACGGACAATGCGTTTACCTCCCATGCGATAATGAGTGGTCCACTCGGGGATGGCGTTTATGTATCTTCACAACTCGACAAGCTCGTGATACCTCATTTGCGGACAGAATACCGAGAGGTTAGTAAGGAGATTTTCGATGGGAGTGCAGAGTATTGATTTGTTGTTTAGTGTACTATTGCAGGTGACTTCGACCTCCTACACAGTACATCAAATCCTATTGTGGGTTTTTTTGCCTTACTCAATCTTGACGTTGACCGTTTGGTTATCGTTCCAGTTATACATCAAAGACTTTGCTCTCGGGAGCCGCACCGCTCTCAAAGGATATATCTACACCTCACGCTTGCCTAAAGACTCGCACAAGACATTGGCTACAACTATCCTTGTTGCGAAAGGCACAAATGAAGATTCCGTAATGGGTATTCCGAAGAAAACTGAGTCAAATCGGGTTACGAGTGTGGTGTGCCCCGCGAGGTAAGTTCATTGATTTTCATTTTTCTAGCTGCCAGTACGGTCGTTACTTGCACGTAGTAGCTTGTGTTTGTTTTACTCCATTTATTGAAGACAAGTCGACTTACACCCCTCCCAAGGCTGTGCTAAAAACAGTGCAACTGTCCGGTGGGATCAGGAGCTGCCAATTATCGACTGGCCAAAAGATCTTTGGATGCCATTTAGTAAGCCCACGACTGGTAATGTAGAGGCTAGTGCTCCCAATAGCTTCACTACTGAAGAGGTCACGGGCAAGGGGAAGGGGAAGGAAGGAGATTCAGGCTGTCATCCACTTCCACAATGGGTAAAGGAACTGTTCACTCTGCTTCCATTAATTTGATATAGTCGTTGGGAACTGTATAGTCTGGCAAAGATTGTTATATGGTTACTAGGTCGGAGGCTCACCTAGAGTCTTGACTTAGTCATTTCACTCCTAACGAATCCGAAATGTAGTGAAAGAACACAATAGAATCTATCATGACTGGCAAATCTAAACTATGTAGGGAGATGAATGAACACGGACAGACACGAACCTGGGAAGGATTGATGTATTCTTGCATTAACTCACATCTATATATTTTTCCTTTCCCTTTTTCGGAGAGAAATGAATTAAATACCGAATATTAAAGACACGACAAAAGGGGGGGGTGAAAAAAGTTTCTCCCTGGCTGGGAGTCGAACCCAGCTTTCGCGCGGCATTCTTACTATGACAGGCGCGTGTACTAACCGATATACTACCAGGGATGCGGATTGAGTGCATAAATTTGCTTGTTCTCTGGATATCTTGAACCCTATTGAGTATAACCGAGGTAGCGCCAAGCGGCATTGCCCGCTACGTCGTTATAGGTAAACCCAGTTTGAACTAAATATTCACGCTCTGCCTCGATTCACTACGATCATTGGCTCACTATACGTTGACTATCGCCTAATAATGTGGAAAATAACATTCCAAACAATCCCAGATGAGACACCTGGATATGAAGAACAAATCCCCATCTCCCCTCTCAAAGTGTTATAATGTTGTTGTACATCACTCATTTGCAACAGTTGCGTCATCTGCAAATGATCAGGGCATAAATAATGAGGATCCGGCTTTGGTGTAGTGAGGCATACAGTGACAATCGGCTCATTTCATCTGGTGTTTTGTGCAATGAGTACGTCCTCCTTTCCGACGTTCTTTCAGCTAGCATAAATACGCGGACTGCTGGGAAATCATCGACACGCACTTATGTTGGCACGTAGACTGACTGATTCATTTTGAGGTATGGACAACATTTCATTCACCCGTTTGCAAGGAAGAGGGGGAGCTTTGCGGTCAGTAGTAATTCTAACCATAAGTGTCAGTTCATGAGGTATTTGTGTTGTCTTGGTTATTCCATGGCAAATTGCAGGGAAATGTGCTCAATGACAGCGAGGTATCTAATGCTGTAAACCCGTATTAATAACATAGATAACATCAAGCAAGAGGCCGGTATCAACATACAAGCTGACTGGTTTGCGGATACGCCTATTAAAAGTGTAGGCTGCGGCAGCAATTTTTGATAAAAGTGACCTACAAGGACGAGGATTAACAGCTACCAGAACAGAGTATTAGTTGAGGAGGTTTGAAATGAACGTAACACATACGGTATTGACCAGTCAGGGGAGGCAGAATCGGGAGCGGCAGACAAGCTTCCAGCGAGGACTGCACAATGGGCAAATTGTCGAATATCCGAGCACAATCGGAATATTGACACCGTTGTTGGAATTCTACACCAAATATTGCATTGGATCCTGCTAGATCATTGAGAACGATAAATTCTAGAGGCAACGTGTAACCAAAATTGTTGGGACCGAAGTTAACAGTGGCAGAGACGCGCTGTGCCAATTGCCGAAATTTGCAGCACGAATAAAGGATCTGGATACAACAGATTGATAGCTGGTAATATCTTTGCTTTACCTGCGACGCAAGGTTGGCCAGAGATTGTGAGCAACATGAGGACCACAAAAGAAAATGATGAGCAAAGAGTAATTATATAATCACGAAAGAACCTGAAGTGGTATAATCAACGGACGATCGGTCATCAATCCTCAAATATCATCAGCGGATGATCTCGCAAGGAATTGCTGTTCCTGAATTGAAGTGCTACAACACCCACCACCTAAAGGTAGCGGGAGTTATTCTTTCTGCATCCTACACTGCGTACCACACACACCCTTCCGGGCCTTTGAGCTTTTGATTTCTTAAAATTCCAATTCTCTGCTGACACAATCCCTCCGGATTCTCCGCCTTTATTAATATCACAAAGGGCCTCTCAGTCTACCACGCAGGCACATCTGCCTGCCCTCCTCCTGAACCGATAAACTCCACTTGCGAGAGCGAAGCTGATTTCGCTGATCATGGCTATTGCTTCTACAGTGTCAAATGCTGCCGTCGATCCCAGTTGCCATTGGGGACCCCGGGATCGACCCCGACGAATTCTTGGATTCGGCAGCAGCAGCAGTACCTGTTTCCGCCAAAGAGAAAGTTAAGTCTTCTTGGAGTTGTGGTGTCGGACTTTGACTCAACGACGACGGAGAAAGAGTACCACCAATTATATAGCCGTTGAAACTGTTTGGGTTTTTTCGTTCGACCTTCTTTCGAATCTTTTCCTCTGCACGAGCTTGTAGAGCTGCGATTTCGGTGGAAAGTCTTGCCTGTGAGATTGAGAACGAAGTTTAGAACACGACGAAATTCGCGAAATGGAAAGGAAAAAAATGAGAGGATAGATGGAAGAAAGGGCCAAGATTCAGAAAAGTAAAGGACGAAGGAGAGCGAAAAGTGAAAAGTGAAAAGACTTACCGCTTTCTCATCTAACTCCTTCTTATCAAATATGGCGTATGGAGAAGTTGGTGGTTTAGAGCTTGGCTGAACGCCTAGTTTAAGATACTATAAGCATGATCCGTGCTATCTCACGAAAACCAGAAGAGCGAGAGGAAGGACAGGCACAAGGGTCCCGAAAGCAATGAATATGACGCTCGAAATACTCACCAAAAGAAGCTTTCACAAAAACCTCATTCATTAGATCATGATTCCGCTTGTATCTCATAAGAGCATGTGTACGTGTTGATATCGAATCGATTTCGTCTCCCGAATCGTCGTCGTCTGGTGAGCCTTGACCACCCGGTGCACCTACCGGTCTTCTACCGGGGGGAACTCCAGGAACACCAACACCTGGAGGAGGAATACCTCGTCCGTGGGGACCAGGAACGGGTGGACCGTGCATGCCAGGAGCACCGGGGACAGGAGCACCAGGAGGAAGAGGACCGGCACGTCCACCAAGAGAATGAGTTCTACGGGCTTCTAGTATTTCCATATTGGAGTTCTGTTGTGCGATTAGGGCTTGCGCTTGCTGTTGGTTGAAAGCACCTGCTCCGCCAGGCATACCCATATTCCCACCCATATTGCCAGTTATTCCACCGGGCATACCTCCTCCCACACCGCCGCCAATTCCTGATTGCATACCAGGCATCCCACTTGGAATTCCGGCACCCATACCCATACCCATTCCAGCACCCCCACTAGGCATGCCTCCGCTCATTCCACCCTGTCCTGGAAACACTTTCTGACCCAGTTTTTCTCCTGCGACAAACATGGGAGGCTCGTTTACTTGTCTTAACGGATACATCCTCGCTGGTTGATTGGCAATGGCGGGAGGTATGGGTGGTCCATTTGGCCCTCGAGTATAGTGTACAACCCATAACTGAGGCATCGCACCCATGCCGCCCATTCCACCGCCATGAACCAATCGATATCTCCTTCTAATCCTCGCCGCCATCGTCTCTCCAGATCCAGGGACAAAACCAAATTTGGCTTCGCATACTTCGAGCTCTTTTGGCGTTCCCTGGTTGATGCTGTATTTATTTTCAGATTCAGGCCAGCGAATACCGTCGATTGGGAATGGAGTGTGCGAAGGCAAGAAGACAATGAATGTTTGCCCATCTGCTCGAGTGCTTGTAATTAATATAATGGGGGTGTAATACAAGAATCAAAACTCACCCAGTGCGCGGTCAATCCACGACCAGACAAATGGCACCGTCATGGCTTGCTGAGCCGCTCTCAACAACAAACTAACTGAGCCCTCCAGTGTTACTTGAGCGTTCATCAGAACATCTGGATATCGCAGGACCAATCCTTCAGCCTGAAGTTGTTGAATCTCGGTGAGAGTGAAACTGGGATTCGGCATTGGGAGTAATATAAATAGATAGGTAGCCAGTCAAATTTCATTCAACTTTGCGTTAATAGTGATAGTTACTTCAAGCTTGGAAATCTGGACCTAACCCTGACGTCGAATACCACGTTCAAATCATCTTGCAAACTTGTAAATATTAACATTTTATAGCACGCTCTCGCACCACCTCCGACCGATTGCAAACGCTACATCAAACTCATGCCAAAAATGTCTAATTTTCCTTATTTCCATGCAATTTTCTTTGGCCAAATCGTGACCTTGGATCCTCCGAAAAGCAAAGCGCGGTTGAAAATCCCGGGGATACGTTGTCAGTAGAAACTTGATTTCTTCTCCATTTTCATCCACCGCAAAGAATGTCGAAAAGTATAAGTCTCGATAGGATAAGGTCGAAATTCTTTCCTCATCATCATCCCCATCTGGATCTGATTCTATGGAGAAAACAACTTCTGGACCGCATATTGGCAGAACGCGGTACCAATACCACTTGTGACACCGAAGCAAGACTGAATTTTCTTTCAAGGCATTATATTGGGACGCGTGATACATAGTATTAGCCACATTACCATCCCGGAAATGGGGGTGAAGAAGAAATTCAAATGCTGCTCCGGCGCACGCGGGAGAGATAGTGGCGAAAAATCGCAAGTAGTATGGTGGAAGATGTTGTGCAATGTTGTGAGCAATTTCCAAAGGAATCACGCCAAGTTTTGAGGTGTTCTTGGAGGTGTTCCGGGATGCTACTTTGTGGTAAGTTGCATTTTTAGTGAAGAGCTTGTGCCGAAGGGTGTTCTCGTAAAGAAGTTGTCCAAGACGAGACAGAGCAGTGATACCTGGTGTATCCTGTCTATAACAGTGATCTTCGGGAAGGAATGTCATGTAAGGAGTGTGTTCCACACGAAACTGGATATTTTCCGGAGATTCTACCACCTCGAAACGCACGATAGAGATATGGTACAGTGACATGATCACTCCATGAAATGATGTACCAGTAACAGCAGACTCTGAATTTGTTTTGGTCCCAAAATAGCTGGTGACTGCTTGCACTAGTTCCACGATTGCTGCTCTTAGTAAAGGCTCGCTGTCAAGGCGTGGAACAGCTAACAAACAAAATTCGTCCTCAAGGATCCATCTCCAAGGCTGAGGACGGTCCTCGTAGACGCTGTCGTGGTACCTCCACTCTTCCGCATACAAAAGAGCATTGGAAAATGTTTCGCAAATGATTCGGAGCTTTGTGATAATGTTGAGCACAGAGTGAGAAAGGACTGCTCGTATACCAAATCCTTCTTGGTTGCACATTGAAAGCATCAGGGAAGCGATAAAAATTTGCATGATTCGTACGCGGGTTTGTTCAACTGGGCGTAAGTTCACTGGTAAGTGAAGCAACGTGTGTGGATCCGGTATGCATTGTACATTGTAGCCGTCGTACGTGTCGAGGATATCACAGCCGACTGTGGCCGGCGGAGGGAGTTTGAATCGATGTCTTTCAGGCGTTGTTTTCGAAAAGCAGATGCGGTCGTACAGGTCCGTCCCTAGTTG